TTTGGCAAAAGATAATATCCCTCTAAAGTCACATTTTGTTAAAAATTCGATTATATAAATGAACTCAAAGTTATTTGTAATTCCCTGGTTATAAATAATTTTTTTTTATAGATTAATCTACAAACATTAGCTATAATGATCACTCATTTTGAAAGCGACAATTAGTAAACGATCTCTGCGAATAGTATGTACACAGGTACCTCTGTGAAGAAGCCTAGCGATTTGTACATATTATTTGTTACACAAGAAACCAATTTAATCCAATCAGTGTTAAAAACCTAATATTTTTACCCTTTAAAAAAACAAACGTTGAAAACAAACATCCAGACGCAGACCATTTATTTTACAGCATAGCAACACTTGTTCAGTGCGGGAACGAAGCCTCGGTCCTGCAATGCCGCAGCCAAACGTATAGCCACTGTGCGACGGAATCGTCGTTTATTTTTTACTTAATTAATTACTAGTATAATAGTGCGTTTTTTATTTTATATTTTTTTTATACATATTTTTGTACCTAATTTTAGATATATAATTACAAATTGCTGTATGTAAAATACATTGATTTCATATCCCTATCGGCATTTTTACTCAATCCCCACAATAAAAAATTTATTTCCCATAAATAATTCTGTATAGAGATCTAACTTTTATTATGTAAAAATATCGATAAAAAATATATCGATAAAATTATTCAAGGATAGACATTTACAGCACTATTGTAATTCATCAATGTTGTAAACACTGTTTGTGAAACTAAATGTCATATTTTGATGTTGGTAGAGTAGCTTGGCGTACTTTCATGCATTTACTTTTACCAAGGAGGTTATAATATGATATAGGGAGTGAGCGCTTAGAACATTGTAACCGTTCCTCATTTTTCTTCGAAAGAGAGGCACCGGGTTTGATATTTTAGCTCCTTCTAACATTGATAAATGTTTACACAAAATAAAAACATTACCAACGTTTAGACAGTACTTGACTTTAATATTTTAGACGTATGCCAGAACGATAATCTTACATTTTTTATCGTTAATCATAGTTGGTATATTCCATTTTGTATTTTAATTAAGCTAATTATTAAGTAACAAAAAAAAACCACTAAAATATTTTAATGTATGAAATTTATGACTGACTCCAAATGTCAAACAATTAAATTCTAATGTAATTTTAAATGGAGAGAAACTGAGTCTTGTAGATACCACCATTTTTCTTGGAATCACATTAGATGCTAAGCTTCAATGGAGCCCCTATATATCAAAATTAGCAAGCAGACTTAGCTCTGCAGCATATGCTGTGAAAAAGTTTAGAAGTCTTACCAGTGTTGAAACAGCTAGACTAGTTTACTTTAACTATTTCCATAGCATAATATCGTATGTTATTTTGCTATGGAGACACGCAGCTGACACTGAAATTATATTATTTTTACAGAAGAGAGCCGTAAGAGCAATTTATGATTTAAAGCCTAAAGAGTCGCTGCGATAAAAATTGAAGGTAATTAATATATTAACTTTGGCCTCTCAATACATTTATGAAAATGTAATGTAGGTACACAAAATAAAAGTGGTTTTACAAAAATAAGTGATATTCATTCTGTAAATACTAGGAACAAACACAAGCTAGTAGTACCAGTTACTCGACTCCATCAAGTCAGTAATTCATTATTTGGGCGATGTATACGCTTTTACAAAAAAAAAATCCAGAAAATATACAAAATTTGACCTGCTAGAAGTTCAAAAACTTTAATAAACTAAATTTGTATTAAAAGGGTTATTATAATATTCAAGAATTTATGGATAATAATAACCCCTGGAAATGAGCTACCAAGCTATTTCTAATTTGTTGTGTTGTTAATTTATGTAACATACATGATTATAAGCTGTTATTTAAAAAAAAGTTCCGCTGGGTTTCTTGCTGATTTTTCGCAGGACAGAGGTTTTTTTTCGAACCAGTGATAATTAAACAAAAGAGTGACTTTCAATAATTATTAATTATAATCTATATTGAATAAAAAAGTTTCTGTTTCTGTTACACGAATGTTCTTTCCCTAAAAACTAGGAGGTGCATTCTACGCTATAGATAACAACACTATTTTAAAATTTGACGTTGTCATATGAATGAATCCACCAGAGTCCACCGGATGGTAAGTGATACCTGTGGCCCATAGACGTCTACATCTATCCTAGTTTGTGAATCAAAATGCAGAAGCGTTATCACCCGTGAGGACTAAGATGGAATACCTCTTTTCCAGTATAAAGGGTCTCCGGTTCTCTACACTCACCATACGAAATACATCAGTGTCGAGCTGCTATTTTACGCTGGTATTCTGTGAGTGCTTCGTCCTTCCCCAGTCGAGCCGAACCATTTGTGCTACAACTATACTGTTTATATAGCTGCAGCATGGCTCTACCACGTAGAAAACGCCTTGTGCTAATCATTCGCTAAATCTATGTAGAGTGCACTAATAAGAGCTGTAATGTATCAATGTAATGAATGGGTGGACCGGCTGGAACCGAGGGGACCCACGACGTTACAGATAAGCAGCGTGAAGTAGAAGTTTATTTTGCCTGTTAACTGCAGGTGGTCGGAGGCCTGACCCCTCTCCCGTTTAACATGGTAGTGCAATTAAATAAGAAACCATCCTAGGAGGGTACCCAAGCTACCCTATTCTTCCATAGCGCTGGTGCTCAGGCTGTCTCGTGTATCCTGGAGGGGGAAGGGGGGGGGGCGAATTTCCGCTCATGACTAATATTGGTCGTAGCAAGTAGAGCAATATGACAAAAGTGACACCTGCCATGGTATGTGTGAATTTCTGCAAAATCAGGGGATTTTATTCGAACGTTAACGAAGTCCACTAGGTACCACCTGAAGACGGCGATGCCGACCTTGCTCTTTCTAACCGCGACGCAGGTATCCTTTCCAGTCCATACTTGTCTACTATCCGGGGTAAAAATTATAACACCTTTGTACCTCGGGCTGGTGTTTGCGTATACGTCAGAGAGGACATCTGTTCTCGATGCCTCGGCAGTCTTGAAGGTCAGTGACGACCATCATCGCGTTTACAGGTGCCTCTGTAGGTAATGCCGACACAGACCAACTCATCGACCACGTCCAAATCGCTGCAGACTCCGTTCTGCAACAGGTCCCATCTGCAGAGATCGTGATCCTTGGTTATTTTAACCGCCACCACGCTGAATGGCTTGGTTCTCGTTTAACCGATCATGTGGGAAGATCTGTTTATGTGTTTGCCTTGGAATATAGTCCGACACAAATGGTTACTCCACCTACGCGGATTCTAGATGTGGAGGATCGTGCACCTTCCCTGTTGACTGAGGACCTTCTGGTGACCACTCATCCGGACGGATATCAGGTCTCCGTCGACGCCACTAACACTCCCATCGCGCTTGCGTTATGCAGATCGCCGCCGTGTTTGGCACTATATGTCGGCCGATTGGGACAGAACGCGGTCTTTTTTTTTTGGCATCGTTCCTTGAGGACAGGGGCGGGTATGCTTCTCGCTGGTTTATCACAACGTGATTCTGTCGCTGATGTGATACTTCAGGGAATGGAAGCCTTTATTCTATCATCTGTGGTGCCTAGTTTGGTCGCTCCTTTTCATTTTTCATTTTTTTCATTTTTTCACTGTTCTTATCCCTGGGCTGGGGCTCCTAGTACTAGCTCCTTCACTTGACGGCATCCAGCGCAGAGCGGCTCGAATTGTCGACGACCGACGAAGATGAAAGACGCGATGAAGAGATGTTGCATCCCTTTGCATTTTCTATCGCATTTACCACAGGGAGTGTTCAGAGGAATTGTTCAGATTAATTCAAGCCACAACATTTCATTAACGCATTTCACAAATCCACATCATCGGGCTATTTGGCGGTCCACTACTGACGGACCGGGACGACTTAGGGAGCTTCCAGAAACGTGCTTACTCCTTTTTAAGAAACCGCTAACGCGCCTGAAATTCCCCTGGTGTTATATTTTTTAATAGGCGGGTGGTCGACACTTGCCATCAGGTGAACCTTATGCTCGTTTGTCCCACTCTTCTATATAAAAAGGCAATAAAACGAAGTAGCCAATTATCTTTAACAATATTATATTTATGTTCTGGAAATGGGAGTAATTTTTACGATTTCAGTTCGAGCCGTTCGCGGTCAGGGGCCAAAAAGTTAAAACTCGATAATTCTTTATACAACTAGGATAGTACATATTTTTTCGAACGTCGTGTTTGGAGGTCGAGGGGCCCCTTTAGCTTGGGGGCCCCGGGGCACTGCCCCGCCTAGCCCCTGGGTAGCTACGCCACAGCTTATAAGGCAACACACTTTTAAAAAAGAACATACAGTGGAATTGAGTACCTTCTCCTTTTTAGAGTCGGTAGATACCCGCTCAGATGGCGCTGATGTAGCGATTGAGTTTTCTTTTTAATTTTAGATAGGTAGAACCGATAACATTTTCTAAACGTGCATTGGATCGCGTTTAAGATCAACCATGGGATTTTTTAAAAAAACAACCGATAAAGAAACAAATAACCAACCAAATTTAATACCCCATAATGATATATTTTTAGGTTATCGATGCGTTCAAGCATTCTGAATTATTCAAAATTTTAAATATTTTAGAGGAGATGCAAGATTTAGTTGATATTGATTTCGCGGATTGGCAAGTACCCAATAATCGATTAAGGGTTTATTGACATCGATGTTTCGATGTTTGACATGTGGCAACATCGATGTTTTTATTCTTGACATCGATGATCATCGAACATCCCTAGCCCACTTCTAGTTCTGTGATGTCTATTGTCTATGGCCTAAAATGTCAGGCTCAGGCTGCCTTAAAAAAATTGCCAAAGAAGGAAAATTTATAAAGTAAAAAAAGACTGAATTACGACGTTTACATTATTTAATCTCATAAGAGTTATGTTATTTCAATCTTTACCTAGGCATTTTATTGAATGTTAAACACGCTTAGTGAGTTAGCTTGTTAGTAACAGATTTAAAATGTCCACCGGTACTCTCAACCAATACATCCAGTTTGTAGAGCGAGTTTATAGGACTTCTCAAGGAAATATACTGGCACGTTTGTTATCTCTGCGAGATGAACACGTAGGAAACAGAAATTTGCGATCTAGCGATATAGCAACTCTGGTGGAAGGGAATTGCATAGCTCCTCTTGATGAGATGATTATTTGCCACTTGCAATGTGTAAAGGTAAAATTTTTTTTTGTTAACTCTGTAAATGTGTAGAGAAATAAAGCTTTATTATTATATTTTAAACCACCCATCAACATCAATGGCAAGAGTAAATTATGATTTTGCTATCCGTTAAATAACAAATGTCTGTTTATTTACAGGCTTTATATGCTAGGGACTTTATGGGAGCATATGATAATCAAAGTGCATTTGTAGCTGCCGTTGTTAGACTTTTACAAGGACAAAAAGAGGAAAATTGGGCACTGCCTCTTATGTACACTGTATGTTTAGATTTAAGACTTGTTGCGCAAAAAGCTGAAGGATGTGATCGTAAGTATGTTTTATCGTTGAAATAATAAATCAAATGGTTAAATTACTTAAATCTAAATCCTTATTTTAATATTAATAATCTAAATTTCAACTTAAATAAATGATTGCATGAACAGTTGTAAATAAATGTCCAAAAGATAAGAAAATGACACTTAAATAATATCATTACTGATGATACAACATTTAGCTTTAATATATTGACGGGGAACAGCAAAAATATGGCTGTTTTAAAGTTAATTGATGGTTGGTTGGTGCAGTAGGTAAACATTGAATTGAGGGCCTAAAAGCTGCGGTTTCAAATTCTGTATATCCTACAAATACTTATTTCAGATTTGGATGTTTGTCTTTGTGCTATATATATATATATATATATTGGCTGACCAGACAGACATTGTTCTGCCCTTTTCGATGACCTTTCATATAAAAAATCCTTAAATTCGTAATAAAAAAATATTGAGTGTCACTTACCAGGATAAAAACTATCCTATCTCTCAAGTTGGACCAAACTGCACAGAGTGTGCAAAATTTAATTGAAATTAGTTCAGTAGTTTAGGAGTTCATTGCAGACAAACAATGTGTCACATAATTTTTATATATAAAGATATATGTATGTATACTAAAGAAAATACTAGTGTAACTTTTTTTAAATTAACTAACTTTGGAAGAATGATTAATAAAGAAAAAAAAATGGTTGATGTATTTTTACATCATATGGTATGTTATTAAATAATTAGCATTAGAAAGTATACCAAGAAGAGATTTACGTTAAAGAAATTTTTTCAAAGTCATGAATCAACATTTAGAGAACAGATAGAGAGCTACGCCAGGAGTGATCTAGGTTAATTTTATATAAAAATTTAGAGATTTTTTTTTATATAGAATAAAGGTGACAAATGAGCACACAGTCCACCTGATGGTAAGTGGTTGCTGTGGCTCATAGAGACAACTACATCTATCCTCAATTACAAATCAAGATGCAGATGCGTTGTCACCCGTGAGGACTAAGACGTAATGCCTCGTTTCCAGTAAAAAGGGCCTCCGGTTCTCTACACTCACCATACAAAACTTAGCAGCATTAAGCTGCTATTTTACGCTGGTGTTCTGTGAGAGCGTGGTCCTTCCCCGGTCGAGTAGACCCATTCATGCTACAACTATACAACTAAGACAGCTAGGCTCTACCACATATAAATCATTGATTTTTAATTGTAACATTGATAAACAATGACATTAATAGATACCACTCAGGTGAAGCTGGAGAGGTTTTTTTACATCTTATTTCTATCAATGTGCCACAACTTTATATAATATCTGTGTATGCTTATTTTTTACAGCACAAAGCAATGGCAAAATATTAGAGAAAGCAGCAGAGAGTCTTCTAGCATGTTTCAGGGTGTGTGCCGCAGATAATAGATCATCTGATACTGAAACAAAGAAATTAGGGATGTTGAACCTTGTAAACCAACTTCTTAAAGTCTATTTTCGTATAAATAAATTGCATTTATGCAAACCCCTTATAAGGGCAATTGACTCATCACCATTCAAAGACCAGTTCCCATTGGCTCAACAGATTACATACCGGTATTTTGTTGGACGTAAAGCCATGTTTGATTCTGATTACAAATCGGCAGATGAGTATTTGTCATATGCATTTCAGAATTGTCATAGAAAGAGCAACAAGAACAAGAGACTGATTTTAACTTACCTTATCCCAGTGAAAATGCTGCTAGGTTTCATGCCATCAAAACTTTTACTTCAGAAATATGACTTAATGCAATTCTGGGATTTGGTTTCTGCAGTAAAGGATGGAAATTTGAGAGGCATTGATCAGGTGATGGAAGAACATGAAAGTTTCTTCATTCGAGCAGGCATATACTTGATTGTGGAAAAGTTGAAGATAACAGCATACAGAAATTTATTTCGTAAAGTGTATTTATTGGAAAATACCCACCAGATTGATATTGCAAGCTTTGAAGCAGCATTACAAATAATGGGACAAGAGGATGTAGATTCAGATGAAACCCAATGTATTGTAGCTAACCTTATTTATGATGGAAAAATAAAAGGGTATATTTCCTATCAACATAAGAAAGTGGTTGTTAGTAAGCAAAATGCATTTCCACCCTTGTCTAGTTTGTATTAATTATTATAAGAAATAAATATTTTTAATTTTGTGTGAAAATTCATTGACTCAGAATATTATAACAATTTTATTTTTAAAGGAATAAACAACTCAAAAGCTCACTTGATGGTGTTGATCTAGTGTTGGTCCAGTGGTTGTAAACATGACTCAAGTGCTATCACAGGACACAGCACCTTTAATAAACATTAATTTACCATAGGTGTTTAGGGGATGAGTCGCTCGCGTCCGTAGGCTTCGACCACCTAATCCTAGGCCCACCCTACACGTGTCCCCCAGGTGGTGCTAAACGAGCGACAAAGCCGAAAAAACTGACTCGGCTACTCGCCGTGTGGTAGCGGTGTAAAAAATACCACAACTTACTTTCGCACCATGAGGCAAAATATTAACGAAATGGCCCCGAGTTCCCGGCGCCCCTTTAATGGGGCAGGGGTGCGAAGAATCTCCGGGAGGAAAACCGGCGACGAGGTTCGCCACCCGTCACGTTCTGTCCCCCGGAGGGGCGAAAAGTGGATTGCGGGAAGCCCGTCTGGCTACATTGAATGTATGTGAAGGAATGAATGATAAGATGGATGAAGTATGCGATATGATGTATGATAGAGGAATAGACGTGTTATGTGTGAATGAGACGAAACGGAAAGGAAAGGATGCCACTACACATGGCATGTATACCGCGTACTGGTCTGGTGTAGACGAGACCCGCTCGGTCTCATGCCAGGGAGTCGGTATCATCCTTTCAGAAAGAATGGGTCATTGTGTAAAAGAGTATGAATGTGTAAGCCCGAGACTGCTATGGATACGAATGAAAGTGGGCTTAAAGAAGTTGTTTGTTTTAGGGGTCTACGCCCCAGACATGTCTAAGCCCACTTATATCCGAGAGCAGTTTTGGGAGTTGGTAAGGATGGTGCTAATGAAATGCAAGGTTAATGAAAATATTGTGATATTAGGCGATTTTAATGGAAGGGTTGGGGTGAGGAGGCTTGGTTATGAAAGTATATTGGGAACGTTTGGTGATGAAAGTATAAATGAGAATGGTGAAAGCCTTCTCGCCGTATGCGTGGAAAAGAATCTTGTTGTGACGAACACTTTCTTTCGTCATAAGAAAATTCACACGTATACATGGGAAAGAGGTGATGATAGAAGTATGATAGATTTCATAATTGTTGATGAAAGAATGAAGAGCGCGGTGGTAGATACTAGGGTTTAGGGTTTTAGGGTTTTTAGGGATACCGGGGCTCTAACGTAGGGACGGATCATTACTTGGTCTTATGCCGAATTAATGGTCTTTTCAGACGTTGGAGGCATCGGACATCTGTGTCTACCACAGCGTTACAGCGTATAAGAACAGAGAGGTTACAAGATGAAGGTGTGAAAGAGAAGTTCAAATGTAGATTGAGAGAAAATATAAGTGGTATGGCTGAATTGTGTATGAATGATTTAGACTTGGAGACTGTGTGGTATAATGTCAAGAAAGGTTTAGTGGATGCAGCTACCGAAGTATGTGGTGTAAGTAAGAGAACAAATGAAAGGAAAAATAACACGTTATGGTGGTATGATGAGGTACGGATGGAAGTTGAAGCAAAGAAGAAAGCATGGCTAGATTTACTAGCAACCAAGGCTAGTAATTCTAGCAGTATGAATGATGATATTGAAAGGAAAAAGGCAGTTTTTAGACACCTAAATAAGAGAGTAAAAGAAGTAGTTGAAAGGAAAAAGCAAGAAAGAACGGATAAGAATGATAGAAGAATATCGGATAACTTCAGGCAAACATTAAAATGTTCTGGAAACTCGTAAGAACTACCAGGGGACATTCACAACAGCCTAGAATGAATGCTATACGAGACCAGAATGGCTGTATTCTGAATGACGAAGTTTTGAGTTTAAGTAGATGGAAGGAATACTTTGAAAGCGTGTTTATGAGTGATGAGTCGTTTGAATTAAATGAAATAGAAATTCCGAAAGAAGAGGAAATAGAGATATAAATATAGATGAAATAATGAAAGCAATGAAAAGTATGAAAGCAGGTAAGGCAGACGGTTATGATAGAGTATCTCTCGAAATGCTAAGGGCTGGAGAAGGAGTTGTGGCAGACATGCTGTACACCTTGTTTAATTTATGTTGGGAACTTAAGCGGGTACCGGGAGACTGGTGCAAAGCCGTGATTGTCCCAATATATAAGGGAAAAGGATCACAGCAGGACTGTAAAAACTACCGTGGTATCAGCCTTCTTAGCATTGTGGGAAAACTGTATGCTAAGGTACTAATTGAAAGAGTTATGAAAGAAACTGACGGAAAAATTTGGGATGTGCAAGCGGGATTTAGAAAGGGAATGGGATGTACGGATCAGGTCTTTTCCATGCGCATGATCGCCGAGAAGTTTTTGGCCAAAAACCAAAAAGTTTTTTGTGTGTTCATGGACTTGGAGAAGGCTTATGACAGAGTGGACAGGGATGTGTTATGGCAAACACTGAACTCATTTGGGTTGAGCGCTCGTCTGATACAGGCATTGAAGTCTCTTTATAGGGACTCTAGTGCTTGTGTCAGGATCAACGGGGCCTACTCGGACTGGTTTGACATCCATAAAGGTGTCAGACAGGGCTGTGTGGCTTCCCCGTGGTTGTTCAACCTATTCATGGACAGTTGTTTGGAAAATTTGAAAGTAGAAGAATGCGGGTTAAGAATGGGTGAGTTAACCGTCAAATGCCTTTTGTACGCCGATGATCAAGTCATACTTGCGTCGTCGGCAGCCGAGTTGCAAATGATGGTTACATTACTGAACAGGACATTAAAAGAAAAGGGAATGAAAGTGAACGCAAGTAAGACGAAAGTTATGGTTTTTGAAAGAGAAGAAAGTAAAACGATATGTGAAATAAGAATAGAAGGGGAGTTGGTAGAGCAAGTAGATGAGTTTGTATATTTGGGATGTGTGTTTAGCAGGGATGGTAGATATGATAAGGATATAGAACGACGAGTGAATGCAGGAAATAGAGTGAATGGGGCTCTACACTCTATTGTGAAAAGTCAGAATGTGTCCAAAAAGGCACATATGGCAATTCACAATGCTGTGTTAGTACCTACTTTAATGTATGGTAGTGATAGTTGGGTGTGGCAGAAGAAGCATGAGAGTAGAATAAATGCTGTAGAAATGCGGTCATTAAGGAGTATGTTAGGGATGAAGCTGAATGACAGAGTGAGAAATTGTTTAATAAGAGAAGAGTGTGGTTTGCAAGATGATGTTGTGACCAGGATTAAGAAAGGAATGCTTCGGTGGTTTGGCCATGTAGAAAGAATGAATGAGGAAAGAGTGACAAAGCAAATTTATGTTGCAGAGGTGAACGGCATAGTCGGGAAGGGTCGCCCTAGGCGAAAGTTTATCGACCAAATTGGCGATATATTAAAAATGGGCCAAATCAAGAGTACCTTTAACCGACGAGCGTGTATGCGTAGGTATATGGATGTGGAGGAAGCGAGAGAGGTGTGTCAGGATCGTGCCGAATGGAAGTCCATAATCTCTGCCTACCCCTCTGGGTGACAGGCGTGAGTGTTTATGTATGTATGTATGTATGTGTTACAGTGCAGGGCATGTATGGGAGAGGAAGAAACGGTGGCTCACGTGTTGCTGAGGTGTCTGGAAGTCTGCATACAGGGCTAAACATCTCGGCACGCCTGGATCACTCCATGAAGTTGCTTACAACATCAAAGGACTGTTGAACTTCTTCGGGGAGATCTAATGGCTTGAATAAATACATTATTCCTGCCCACAGGCAAAATACGCCCTTAGACGTCGAGTTGCGGAAAACAGCCCGTTTATTCTCCATTGAGCCTCCATCGAGACTGGCCGATATGGTCAGAATTCTATTAAATCGTAATCACTAGTGTCACTGGTTTAAGGGTAGATAGAATAACCCCTAGGCCCGCTAGCTGGTCGAATCACCTGGAACATGGGTAAACCCTACTCTTAGCTTTACGACATACGATTCAAACAGACGGGAAAGTTGCCTCATATTTGTATGGCGTGATCAAAATTGAGAGGTCAGCTGAGTCTCGCAAACTGGCGACATATGAGCTTCTTGTCTTTTGTGACTAATCTGAAGATTGCTGTTCCATCACACTTTATTGGCTTAATCGGCTATTATTTTACTGCTGCACTCCTTTGCGACTCCTTGCCACAAATAAGATAGCCTTTAAAAGATAGGCTTGCCAACTCCAAAAAGGCATTTCCGGGATTACCCAGCTCGACATTCGGGACTTGGGTATATTACGCGGGACACAGCACACCGCATACAAATTAGTTAGAAAAAAAAACACATTGGTTATAAAATTCATTGCATTTTTGATGTAAATTAATGTTAATTTGTAGTTCAGCCCAGGGCTCGGAAACCGATTTAAATTTTTAACCAGTTTCGGTCATATCTCAATCCCAATACTGGTTTTTGCGGAATAACGGTTTTTCACAAATTTAGGTTTAGGTAGTAAGCATTAACCGGTTAAAACCAAGTTTTGTAATGTCCCCCATCTCCCCTACCCCGCTTGCACCTAACTTTGTACGGCTGCTCTCTGTTTAATTCACGAGATTTTTAGACACACGTACGATATATTCATTGCATCTACGCGACTGCCTTGTAACGTACTCCCTCATATTTTTTCATCTTTCAGCAATCGTACTATAAATAACAGATATAACATAGATGTTTTATAGGTCCAGATACCGTGTACGCGCGCCTAAAACGCTTCCATTTCAAAGGCGCCAATATTGGCGTATTCGTTCGATCGTTCCGCCATTACGCCAGCGATGTTCGCTGTGAACATACGTCACGCACCGGTGTTTTTAATTTCGCAAAATGACTGATTGTGCTGTGAAATCATTTAAAAATTACTCTTGGAAAAAAGATAAGGATAAGAACATCACTTTTCATAAGTAACTATACAATTTTATGGTGTATTTCTTTGTAAAAGAATACGAAAGCTAAATGTCAATTAACAGTGGTAGAGCCAAGCGGTAG